GTGAGGTGCCGGTATCAGAGAATGGTACACTTGGAACTTGTGAGGCACAAGACGATGTGTCTCGTGAGGTGCCGGTATCAGAGAATGGTACACTTAGAACTCTCGATGGCCTCGTGCAGCTCATGTAGGTTGTGAGGGCGACTCGAGTCTCTGGCTCGGGTCTCTTCCACCGCGGCGATCAGCTCTCTGATGGCAGAGAGGAATGACCTTCATGAGTAGCTACGAACTACAGCATATAAATACATCAATACACAAATAAATAAAAAGAACAATAAAATCACGCCGATATTGGTTTCAGAGTCGAGGATAATCAGACTTATATTCCTGATTTCTCCTTTATATAACAATAATTTGCTGTACAAAAGCTGTTTTCTAAACACTTAACAGCAAAACATGCACCATCTACCTAAATAATATATGCTCCACCACCACTCATTCAAAAATAATACTTTATTATAGTCTCTAATCTAGCAATACATTTCAACTATTGAATTTTCAATCCTGCCACCAAGTTTCGTGAGTCACTGTGGTAATCACCATTTAGCGTTTAGCTTAACTGTATGGCAACAGGATAAGTCATTGTGGTAACCCGTTGTACAGTGTTGTTCAGTTCGTAATAAAGCTCTGCCCACTATACGGTGTCACTTCTCTTGGTCCTTTATACGTTAAACCTCGGTCACATCACTTTATTGGCAATAATTAAGCCCAGCTAAGGAGAAGGTTTGCATGTTTGCATTCCAATGGAGATTAAATTAAGATTTCGTTATTTATGACTTATGAACACAGAATTGAATTTTATTAACAGTCTTTATTTTAGATATGCAACTAATTCTGGCAAATGTTGCAGCTGAGTGAGCGACATGTTGATGAATTTCGGGAGTTGAATTGATGAAAGACAGCAGTTTAAATGTGCATCATTCGCACGAAACAGCAGACCGGCCAAGAGATGAAGAATATTGTAATTTTATTGAATCAGGAAACAGTTTTATTCGACTATACTGAATTGGTCAACAAATATCTATTCGTAGATCATAACACAGTTCTCACCTATTCGCGAAATTACATCATTAATTCTATATGTTCGGGGTGTTAACAGTGTCGCTCTTAAAGTCTTCCAGATTTTAAGGGGAGCGTCTGGGCCAAATTTTTGAATTATGGCTTTTCCAGTTCTTAGTCTTATCTTAAAGCTGACATTCTGACCTATCCAACGGTACCAAAACCATCTCTGTACGTTGATTTATGAGTTCACGACAGATCGCGAAAGGGTTAGGTGTGGTGGAGTTCTTTAAACATTTTAGATAGGCGGAAATTACCGGCAGCACACTTAAATAGCTAGTCTAAACATGCTGTGCTTCAGTTATCCGCCTGCAGTCGTACGGGATGGTTCTCGTGCCGTCGTCTGCACCATCCCTGACAGAGATTGAGCTCCAGTATCTTTTAGTCTTTAGTCTTCCAACCTTTTACCTTTGAATGTCTATTTCGAGACGCGCGCGACTTTGTCGGGCTCTACTGAAAAGTTAACTTATTGTTACTGGAAAACTATCTCCTCCTACAGTTTTGAAGCTACAACAACGAGAGATATACCGTTCGATTTGCAAAGGAAAGGCCTAGAAAATTGCGTTGGCGTTTTTCTAATTTTGTTATAGTTTGAATTTTATTTGCAAAAAGGAGGGGTGACGGGGGGTAAAATAAAAAAATTTCCGAAAAATTTCCGAAAAATGCCTCTTCACCCACAAAAATAAGAATTTTTAAAAACGCACAAGCAATTTTATAGATATGGTCTTAACACATCGGATGATATGTGTCTCGGTGTTGTAGCTTGAAAATCCTAGGAGGAGATATATTTCTACAGTACCCCCTTTTTGACCGTTTTCTAAGAATTTCACGTTTTCCTTAATTTTTCGAAAAATATACATGAACGAAAAAGTCTTAGATTTCTGTTTTACATATGTGTACCAAGTTTCAAAATTATTCGTCTATAAATAACCGAGATACAAAAAGACCCAGACGCTCCCTTTAAATAATCCGAATTGAATTTTTATATCGGTGCTACATGAAACACCACAACGATGTGGAAAGAGTTTCTGAAAGCGAATAACGTACAATCTTACGATGTGCCTTACGCTAGTCGACTCATGACAAGATTCGGATTGTCTGTTAAAATTTGAATCTAACGCAATGTTTTGAATTACAAACTCAATTATCGTTCTCTCACCGAAGTCTATTATATTAATGACAATATAACACTGCAAAATAATTGTGTGCCCTCAATAGAAGAACAATGGTGTCACTACTTCAGACGCCCATGCTGCTATTAAGTACGCCGCTGCGTTACGGACAGGAGGTTTATGTCCTTATTTAAATAAGGCTTATTTCTCCATCTAAATAAGGCGTATGTCCTTGTTTATATATGATTCGATATAAAATTATATTATAGGCCTTAGAACATTTTAGGAGGGCAGATGGCCCCCTAAAATAAGGCTAGTGATGCCCTTTGCGTAGAGTGATACAACTAGTTGTTGCTGTAAACTGTTTAAGAAATATCAGAGTAGAAATAATGCTGTTATAACAGGGTGCGTACCGGTCATGGAAAACCTGGAAACAATTCTATGGGTATAACGCTGTGTAATGAAGTAAATAATGGGTATAATGTGATGCGTTCATAAACTTCTTAGCGAAGTAGAATTAAGTGTGGCTGGCTTCCAAGCAGTGTTTGTTGTGCGTTTATCGAAACCTATTGCTTCATCACGATATTAATTAAGAAATACAATTTGCTATTAATTTAATTAATGACACATAAAATCAGTGGCTTAATGAAAACTAAAATAGAATATAATTGTAGAAACCGAACATGCACATTATAATTTGTTAAATCACAATCTGGCCTCTCCGACTGCAACATTTCCACTTCAAGCGTATATCTTAGCCCGTTCCATTTACGAGGCCGTCTTTCCTTTGATAAAATTTTGCCATAGAAGCTTTTCTGGGAAATAATGGACAAGCCAATTTTGTTCGGTAGGTTGTCGTGAATGGTCTTATCCTTTCAAATGTGTGGGACTATGTGTCAAATTACATTACATCTTTGAATTGCATGGTTAGTTTTGTGAAATGCCGTTTGATATTAAACAGGGACAAGGTACTGAGTAATCCTGTAAGTTATCTTTCATAGCATCATATTCAGTGAAATTTTTAAATATGGTCTCTAAATCAAAACTTATTTAGGGATAAATGATAACTTAATTTCCCTACGAGATATTAAATGTTTTCAGTGTGCTTAATAAGTATGTAACTCAGCATATAGATCTTCTAAGACCAAATGAAACTTTTTATGACCAAATCTCGTAATATCTAGAAATATTCAAGACTTAGGAAAAGAAAACTGACAACGAATGATGCTTCCATCACCCGAAACCTTTATAAAAGAACATTGGTACGATATAAAATTCAAAATCTGGTGGGCAACCCTATAGCAAAATTAGATAATTGTCTCTACATGTTAAAGGCACTATGAATGCATAGATATTTCCTTTAAACTGTGTAGGCGGGNAGACACTATGAATGCATAGATATTTCCTTTAAACTGTACAGGCGGGAGTTTTTGAAGGAAATGATTTTCATCAATTGAAGCATGTTGCATAGTTTTTTAGGGTAAACGATGCGGTACAACTTTGTTTCATTGTTTTCATTAGCGAAAAAAATTTAATGCGTTCTTCAAACGATATTGGTTCTAATATCTGTCCTTCAAGGCATTGTAGCGGGCCAGTCATGGCCGCGCTATTAGTTTTCTTCAGTCGCCGCACCTCTCTTAACAGAGACTGAAGAGAAAAAGTACCTATGCGTCGGTGGTTATCGCGGGAAGCAGCGGATTGCTAGTTAGGCAGCCTACCTTTGCCTGACCTACCGCACTTTGTAACGACTGTAAATTTCTGTAATTAATGTCCATATAATGTCTGTATTCGTAAACCTATATGCATTTAGTGATAATCTTGTGTAGTGGATGCCGGTTTTCCATGAAATTCAAGTAAACATTATGGCCTTTGAAAATTTGCTGAACCAGTTTTGATTCATCCTCGTACGTTAGGGCCCGCTTGCAGAGACTCAGTAACTTTGTGTATGGAGCGTAGTTATCCCGCTACAGCATCGTAGATACCAAGCTTCTTTTATCAGTTATCAGTATCGATGAAGTTTCCCAGGATCTCCTCGTCCGGACAATTATTCGCAATCCACATTTCAAATTTTTCCTTCTGTTCTTGCGATAAAATGTTTCTCCATCCGCCAGAAGATCCTGGAACAAACGGAAAAAATTATTTCGCGTCCATAGAATTTACTAAGTATATTATTATAGAACTTGAAATTTTCCAGGGGAACGATTTTCTATGAAATTATTAATTTAGATTTTATTGCTCAATGAAACAAATTTGGATCAAAGCAACACTCTTCACTCTAACTGCTAGGTGTGACTTTGTTTTTGTTTATAAAATATTAACACCCTGAACTGGAGGCGTTTGCAATAAAATACGCAGCTCATTAATTAAAAGTGCTATCAACAGCTTCAGAAAAGAAGCTAATTCTCTTCTCTTCACTTTATATAAAATTGAATACCGATGTAAGCTATGTTATACCAAACTCTAAGTTTATTTTTTTCTATCTGTCACAGCCTATAACTATTCCTTATTAGTAATTGGAAGCATGGATGAATAGGAACGAGACAAACTTGCAGGTAGTGCATCGTTAAGCCTAAAATACAGTGCAATAAGGATGAATAGGAACGAGACAAACTTGCAGGTACTGCATCGTTAAGCCTAAAATACAGTGCAATAAGTATCAATTGATGAAAATCGTTTTCTTAAAAAAAAATCCCGCCTTTAGTTTGAAGGAACTATTTATGCTTCATATAGTGCCTTCAACATGTAAAGACAACTCAATCTAATTTTTTATATGGTTGCCCATTAGAAATTGAATTTTATATTGTACAATTTTTTCTTTTAAAAAGGTTTGTCCATCGTGCAGTTGCATGCTCCTAATTCTGTCTCGACGTTAATTTATAAAAAAACTGTCATTCATATTGCCGAATTCAATAATGTGGTTCAATAATTGTAAATCATTAATAATTGGTTAAACATCAACACGTGTTTTGGACATTTACAAGTAAAAATCAGTGCTGAAAACGAGTCAGGAAAAAAATCGGTGCAATTTACCAAGAAATTTGGTCTTAATGGCATGAGAATTTTCTTTTACGGCCACTGTTTTTTAACTTCGACAATCTGCTTCGCGTCCGGTAAAGGATTACCTGATCTGAAGAAACCTCCCTCGGCCTTGGCAAACTGCAAATCCATTATTATTTCGGCATCGCCTTTATTAATGACGTGATCGTCTCGCTTCTTCATCTCGTGGAAACTCGTGTACTGAACAATCTGGAGGTAAAAGGTTCTTGTTAGCTTAGCAATGACATATATTATTGGTCTGCTTATTTAGAAGCCGATTTTATAACCTGTATTAAATAATCTAAATCATGCCGTGGAAATGGAGCAAGGTTTATTTTTAGCGCATTTTCTCATTTATGGTAAAAGGGCGCTATTGCATGTGCTCGTCATATCAGTCCGTCCGTGACGTCCGTCCGTGACTTCACGAAACGGACGGACGGACGAGAAAATGCGCTCTCTGTCACTCACTGCAGTGAGTACTGATCTATTCTTATCTATATTGACATTATAATGTATCCTTAATAATCATATATCAAATATCGTACCACTAATGTTGAAGAATGTGTTAAATAAAATAACCATATTTTTAGTTGAAATCAAAATCAAAGCACGTTGAGTAAAGATATTGATTGTATGAAAATATAATAACACGGCGCCCGAGAATCAAAAATAGTAGTTGACTTGTTTATGAATCATACATCGTCACATACAAAATTTATAACAGATGCATCTAGAATTAATTCTTCTCCGGGAAATATTTAGAATAGTTTAGAATTCGTGCAAAATATTAAGAATAACTAACAATGATTAATGTTGAAACTATCGTATAATAAGTTATATTAAATAAAAACGATTCATATTGCAAGTATTGCCTTCATATGCCCTTTGCTTAGAAATGTTTTCAAGACAACCACAAACTCTTTCCGAAAAAGTTTTCAATGATGATCGGCTTCACGATGTATTGTGTTTCCTTATACGCAAATAGAAACTCTTTCCGAAAAAATTTTCAATGAAGATTAGTATTGCATTACGATGTAATGTGCACGCGTTTGCTTCTACGCATACAGAATATCCCCCGCCACCTTGTCAATTTTTTCCTCGTTCAGGTCGACACCCAGAAACTTGCTGAGCTTCGTGAATCGTGAACTCCGCCTCGGTATTTTTGGGACTAACGTTTTAAAATATCTTTGTGGTGAAAGGGTGCAAAGCTTTAGCTTGACTTGAATGGTATTCATGGTTAGGAATACCTCTGTCCACCTTGTCAATTTGTTCCTCGTTCAGGTCGACACCCAGAAACTTGCTGAGCTTCATGAACTCCGCTTTGGGATTTTTGGGACTAACGTTTTAAAATATCTTTGTGGTGAAAGGGTGCAAAGCTTTAGCTTAACTTGAATGGTATTCATGGTTAGGAATATCTCTGCCCACCTTGTCAATTTGTTCCTCGTTCAGGTCGACACCCAGAAACTTGCTGAGCTTCATGAACTCCGCCTTGGGATATTTGTGACTAACGTTNGCATTGCAGATTTTATAAGATTGGATTGTATTCTATTACATATTCACGCTACACTCCATATATAGGAGCATACACTTGTTTCTGAAAATTATTGCATTCACTAACACTTATATTATGATCTAACACCAAAAAATCTCAAATACAACAAAATATGTACATATCACGACACAACACTCAGAGAGATCAGACAAATTAGCCGAAAATATTGGCAAGATATATTCTTCAGCCCCTCAACGTATGTAGCTCCACACGTCAAAACTCTTGAAAAAATATAACTCGGTCGTCACTGCAGTGAGTGACAGAGAGCGCATTTTCTCGTCGACGAAAACGTGAAGTCACGGACGGACAGACAGACAGACGGACGGACAGACGGACATGGCGAGGACAATAGTGACTTTTTTCCATAAATGAGAAAATGCGCTAAAAAGACGAACAAAGCTGATTTGATTGAATATCATATACCACCTAAAAACTGAATATAGGAAAACCCGACTAACCTCCTGAAAATAATAAAAAAAAAAAATTGCATGTATCTTTTCGACATAATTTGTTTAATTTTAACAAAAACCAGCTGTGATGTATAACCATTTGGCGAGAAGTTATCGGGTATAAAATGAAATTCAGAATGTATCGCCTGACTGGTGTAGCAAATCAGGAAACTTAGCCTATTGAATGCTGGAGCCCCTTTCACCTTGCAAGGAATTGAACACAAGTTAGAGGGACAGGTGTTCGAACCACCAAGAGTAAATTTCCGAAAAATCAGAAGTATGGAGACAGGAATTAGAATTAGTTACATTGAAACTGAGAAATGAGCAACCATTGCTGGATTCAACCTCTACTATGAATTTAGTAACCGATGTTTAAGTTGTCAGATGAGAAAGGATTGGCCTGTGGGATAGGCCATGTGGGATTCTTTGGCCATGTTGATTCTTTGGAGGATTCTTTGGCCAAAATCCATGTGAGATTCTTTGGCCAAAATCCATGTGGGATTCTTTGGCCAAAAGGATTGGCCTTGTGGGATTCTTGCAAACAGGAAAAAAGTGACTAATATTTTGACAATTATTTGCGTGCACTATTTGATCATTTTTACCTTTGCCTTGGAGAGTGCCGTGTCTGAGAGGAAGCAGAAGGAAAGATGAGTCTTGAAAATTCTTGGTCTTTCGGATGCCCTGGCGATTTGAAAGAATGTGCTGGGCTCGTTGCTTTGCTGATTCGACAGAGAAGCAAAGCGGCCTTTATGGTCAAGACCCTCTGCGAGAATGTCAGCTCTGCAAGCCAGGTTAAACAATCAACATATATAATTAAATTAATATGTAATTAATATGTAATTAATAATTTAATTAATATAATTAAAATAATAGGGGCAAATTTGAGCTCTGCAAACCAAGTTTGTTGACTTCAGAAACATTCAAACATAATAATGATGCAGGATGCTACTGTTTTTAGATCACTGTGTAGTCGCTCACTCGAAACTCAAAAAATTAATATTTTTAGGTGCAAATTTGATTTCTTGCTTCGACCAGTTATTTGAAGGAGACGACTTGTTTGATTTAATATTAAATCAAAAAGTTTAATGTGAACGAAGTGAAGTGCAAACGTCATTCGCCTTCATGTTTATTCAACGTTTATTTAGAGCGTACACTTCGGGTTATAAACCGTTCGCGAACTACTTTTTATAATAAGACCGCAAAAAAACTGAGCAATTTATGAGCGCAAACAGAATGTGCTACAACTTGAAGGAGAAGGTTGCTTCCAGGAAAAGAAGCTGGTACCTGATACAAATGCAAGTCTAGCTGCAATTTTGACCGTTTACGCCCTATAGTTTAGAGGACTGTTAATATTAAGGTATGAGAATGAAGGCATTAAAAATCTAAGACTTTAATGAACATTCTTGCCCGCGTTTGTATTGAATGAAAGCAATACCAACTTTAAGGAAAAGCATATCAAATTAAAACTGACTTGACAGATCAACAAGAATTGCTGTACCATGTGCATTATAATAGTAGTAGGAAACAATGCATGTTATCTCAAAGAACGAAAATAAAAACTGATATCATTGGTCTGCTTAAATGGCATGTTCACCATGAGTTTGTAAGCAAATAAATTGCAAGTAAATTCACCTCACCTCTAATGAAAACGTTTCAGAGACCAGCTCCCTGATAAGTTTAAAACTTTATTGAAAAACAGTACTAATAGTCGTGAAAATCAAAATATTCATAAAAAATATTAAAACCTGAGTAACGAGAACGACTAACGTAACATAAAAACTATGGATTAATAATTTCAAGCGGATAAGAACTGTAAGCGCCATTGCGAAAAGGCTTTCCTTTAAAAACCTTGCGTTAATTACAAAATCCAAACAGCAAAATCCAAACTTTCAACGGTTAAATTTACTGTCGAGATGGGAACCCACAATAGTTGACCGTTTTCTCGATTGTATAGTCATTACATCTAATGGTCTCTTTAATTCCGACTTCTGCGCACCGCAAACCGAAATTAATAACCAACCCATGCAGGCATGAAATTAATTAGCTTTTGTTCATTTCGTTTTAAATTGAATGGTCTTCCATTGTGTCTCATGTTTAGTAAAACAACACGTATTACAACTGACATGTATTATATATTCTGAATTATTTACTGATGTTGCTAGGACGTAAACAATTTATTGTGCTTTCACTTACAGCTTGTCGGACATTATGTCAAAATAATTCAAAATCGTATTTCTGATATATTTTCCGAATGTTAATTAGTATGTTTTGATGGTTAATATATAAAAATTTGTTCCTTCTTCAGGTTAAAAGATGTTATTACTGCCCGATGGGTTATAACCCGTTATTTGAATATAGTTGTGCGCGTTGCGCAATTTCTACATTCAGGTTTCAAAATACCACGTCTTGTCGTTTTGGCTGGAACCTTCCACTTTACAGGCCTATATAGTCACTCTGCTGTGCGCCTTCGCACTGAACGGATTTCTGGATTTTGAAATAGCTGCATATTTTTTTAAATTAGAGCCTTTTCTAAAAAACCTTCTTATGGTTCTTATCCTCGTGAAATTTTAAATCGATTTTTCATGTTCTGTTTTTCATTTTTCCGTTACTTAGGTTTTGATTTCTTTTGTGCATACTTTGATTTTTACTTGACTGTATCTGTATAAACACATCAACTCCAAGTGAATGGGTGAATTTGTCGAGCAATTGATGTAAGGAATATCACCACCAAGTCGTAATTTTTTCATTAATTCCTCAATATTTTCCTTAATGAATGGTTTATAGAAATAATCTAACTTAGAACCTACTCGAGAATGGGAGATCGTACGTGGAGAGGAGCTCTACTGGCTGGATTGTCGAGATCAGGGTTCATTACATACATAAGATCTCGAGTGTTGAACCATATATAAGAGTGTTGTAAAACATACATAAGAGAGTTGTATAAAAATAATCTAACTTAGAACCTACTCGAGAATGGGAGATCGTACGTGGAGAGGAGCTATACTGGCTTGATTGTCGAGATCAGGGTTCTTCCTCATGGTCCAGACGGCCTCTTGAGTCCAAGTGGTGCCTGCTTTTGGCATCGTCATCACGATGACGTCATTCTCTTCAAACTGAAGACACATGAAATACAGTACATAGGGCGGTGACCGCCAAAGTTAATACGAAGATTAAAACTCAAATTTATCAATAAAAGCAGTCATCAGAATCAAATTAAATCGCATGCTTTTTCCACTGTATGCAAACTGAAATTCATGTAGTGGAAAAAAAATTGGTGTTCGCTCGTATATATCTGTTGATGCTGTAATCCCATTTCGAGTTGAATACCTAATTGATTAGCATATCATAAAAAATTAAACAGGAATTTTTCAAAATGTCTTCAAACTCAAACTTAATAAATGTGAAAACAATTGTTTCTTGTAAAACGTATAAACTATTTCAAACCTCAAACTCTTTGAGTTCTTTCGCAAATTTCTTCAGTGATGTTGGGAGGAACCAGCCTTCAGGTTGTATAGTTGAGACGCCTGAGAGATGCCCTTTGAATAGCTTATCGATTTCAGATTGGCGGGGTGTCAAACTCTCGATCTTGAGTCCCGGCAGTAGAGACATCGTACTGGATCAGAGTGGAATAAAATAATTGGTATAAGTTTCTTGAATTGCAATGTAAATTGAAATTATTTAAGCTGGAGAATTTTCCAATAGTTATATGAAAATTCTGTACATATATGAATAAAAAATATTACTATGACTTAAATAAAAGATATTTAGCATTCTACATTAGAATCCCAAATTTATAATATGTCATGCTTTTCAGTTTAATTCTTCAAGGTTAATACAGGAAGGAGTGATGGAGGAATTTCAGTATTGTCTGCAAATGCTATGCAGTATTTCAACTGATTTGTCAATTTTCTTTAACTCAGCTTGGTACCTCAATATAGTACGTATATCGTGCGTCATTAACCCCATTGACCGCCATGTCTACTATTAAACGTATAAACTATTTCAAACCTCAAACTCTTTGAGTTCTTTCGCAAATTTCTTCAGTGATGTTGGGAGGAACCAGCCTTCAGGTTGTATAGTTGAGACGCCTGAGAGATGCCCTTTGAATAGCTTATCGATTTCAGATTGGCGGGGTGTCAAACTCTCGATCTTGAGTCCCGGCAGTAGAGACATCGTACTGGATCAGAGTGGAATAAAATAATTGGTATAAGTTTCTTGAATTGCAATGTAAATTGAAATTATTTAAGCTGGAGAATTTTCCAATAGTTATATGAAAATTCTGTACATATATGAATAAAAAATATTACTATGACTTAAATAAAAGATATTTAGCATTCTACATTAGAATCCCAAATTTATAATATGTCATGCTTTTCAGTTTAATTCTTCAAGGTTAATACAGGAAGGAGTGATGGAGGAATTTCAGTATTGTCTGCAAATGCTATGCAGTATTTCAACTGATTTGTCAATTTTCTTTAACTCAGCTTGGTACCTCAATATAGTACGTATATCGTGCGTCATTAACCTCATTGACCGCCATATCTACTTTTGTCTCATGTTCTATCCACTGAATTATCCAGAATTGTAACTTGTCATTGTTGGATGTAGCATATTGTACTTGAGTGTAAAAAGTTTTTCCGCATATTATCAATTTACAAGTTTACAGTAAAGGGAAGAAACTCTTGGGTTCTTTATTGAAACTTCGTTATCATTTCGAAAGAGCTTTAACAATGAAAAGCTCACGCTAAAGCCTTGTTTCATTTCATTCTTAGCACACCAGGGCCTATACTTTCAAAAAGTTAAGAGATCGTAAGTTCATCAGCCAATCATTGACGGCCTTTCAAGCAAAATCCACCAATCATAGACAAGAAAATAGAGCGTAAATACATACGTTCACTTGGCGAGTTTTGAAAGTATGGCCCCTGCATAAACACCTACCTATGCCTCGGTACCTATGCCAAAAAAATAATGATTGTTTCAGGAAAAGCGGAAGATACCGATAGGAACAATATTATTCAATTATTGAATTTCAATTGAGCCTGGAATGAACAGGAAGCTTTGAACTCCAATTAATCTTTAAATTTGGGGCTAATTTTTCAAGCAATACTTTCTAATATCCAAAAAATTTCTGGTCAATTCTAAGTGGTCGATAGAAATTATTTCGTAGGAGAATCAATGAAAATTGAGTGTTTTCTCTATGAAATATAATAAAGACATATTAATGAAATCAATCAGAATCAAGTGACATTCAAGCTGATTAGTTGCTCTACGTGTTCAACATTTTTAGTAATAGATTTCTTAAATAATTATAACCATAAACCTCGCGACATGAAATTCCCTTGCATTCAAAATTAAAAAATATTTATCTGATTAATTTAACCTTGTTGAATATGGTTACGCAACATAAACAAAATAAAAATAATCCCAATTTGAAATTTGGTTATGCACTGTTTTGTATGTTTGAACACTACGGCGATAATACTTTCATATGGTAGTAACTTTCAACCCATGAATAAATTTCAAAATAAGTGGAAGTAGCATACGTACGCGTATAAAGTAACGTGATATCCCATTAGCATAATTCTGACGACATAGAAATAACTTTAAGTTTAATCATATAAAAAGGGAAATCAGAGTGGATTTGTCTTGAATTATGACGGAAGATGGGATATCATAATTAAGAAATTACAGAATAATATCTTACTTAGCATCTGGTTTAACGATTGTTGGCAAGCAGTTACTTCTGCTCATGCAGACGATGAGAAACTGTGTAGTACAATATCTAACAAATTCTTTATATCTCGCACCATTAGGACGAGATTATAATATCAAGGCTGTTTTTTTCAAACCAAAAAGATACATTTACGCACTAAGCAATCAGTTTGTCAAGCAATCAGTTTTTCTCTATGAGAAAACCAGATTGCTGGACATTCAAGCAATCAGTTCAGTTTTTCTCTATGAGAAAACCAGATTGCTTGACTGTCATCTGGCTAGCAACTGCCAAATACATGCACCGATTTATTTAATTTACGCTACCTTGAATATACTGAACGTAGTTGAAATATTTTGACTGCCCAATGATCAAATGCGATCAAGTTTCCATCAGTATTTGTTATACAATCAGACTTTGTAATACATGCTCCGATTTATTTAATTTACACTACCTTAAATACACTGAAATATTTTGACTACCCAATGATCAAATGCGATCAAGTTTCCATCAGTATTTGTTTTACACTCAGATTTTGTTTCTATTGGCTCATTTCAAATTTTATACCTGAGTACACTTTGAGCAAATTAAATTGATGCACGAACGGAGAAAATAATTTTTACAAAAATTTTGCTACAATTTTCACAGGGTTAAAATTCATTGCAGTAAAGAGCGCTGCATGGTGAATACGTCTGTCTAAATTTTTAAATTTCAGTCTATTTAGATGCGGTTGAGTGAATAATAGATTATACAGCATGTAATTCATTTGATGCTTCACTTTGTGACAATGAGTTATACATGAGAACTTCATATAGGAGAAGTGGACATGACGATAACTGAAAGTTCTGACAGCCCTTATAATTATTTTATTTCTTGGATACGTTGCAAGAAGAAAGCACGATTTTCCTCATTCTTCAGTAAGTAAGAAGATGAATCAATATTTTATTATTTATTTTTTATTCACAAAGGAGCCCTAAAAAAATACATAACAAGGGTCCATCGAAAATTTGAAGAAAAAAAAGACAACAGGCTTCCTTGTGAATGCCTATTTAAGCTAAAAAGCTTTACAGGCGATATTACTCTGAATAGAACAATAGCATATACAGTACAATAACATGACATATGATTTATGATGCAGTCAAAAATATTCCGTAAATTCTTCTAGAATGTCACAGAGCTTTGAAAATTAGGCGATACCGAGCCTAAATTTGATAAGGTGATGCCATTTTATCAATTCGAATTATTCATCCTGAAAGCTGGAAAGTTAGTTTCTCTCTCAGATGAAGTGAAAAATTTTATTATTACCTTTATAATTTTCTATTAATTTGCGATCGAGGAAACCGTAGTCGAACTATTTATTTTCATGGAATTTCATGTCAGTAGTAGTCATTTTTTCCATGAAAATGAATTTTGTCATGTCAGTAGTCATTTTTCATTTTCATGTCAGTAGTATAAGTGTATCTCAATAGTGGGTTTCGATCATTCATTTTTAACTTCATACTTTTGTTGACAAATAATTTATTACGAACGTGAATTGGGATAGCTAATTTACAATTGTTGATAACATCTTTCATCCAAATTCGATCTGAATTATTGAAAGTGTATTAAAATAAACTATATCAGTGATATATACAGTGATATATATACACACCTCCCACCTGACATTACAGGGCATTTCTCGGAAATCAGATTACTTATTGCTTTCAATATATTACTTTTATAAATTTTTATTTATATTTTTTTACTGTGCTGTTCAAATTGAGTCGCAGATCAAACTTGTAATTTCTTAATTACAAATGTTTTTTTCGAATTTAATAGTACAACGATTGAAATTTAACTTTACAGCAACGAAAATTTCAGTGTGCATTAAGTTTGACCGTTTGTCTGGTACGATTCAAATATCTGTGGTGCTCGAAAGAGCTTAGCATGGGCCGAAAAAGTATGCCACTGTACGAACTCAACTAGTCTGAATTGACAACAACCTTACATCGACTAATGTCCTAACTTAAGTTTATTTAATGTCCTAACTAGTCGGGAGAATTTTTGCCTCGCCCCAGTTCGATGATGGCTGGTAAAGTAGAAAATTCGCCTTGAGTAGATAATAAGATAATACTGATAAAAATTATTAGTCGATTTCTCTATCACAGGATAGTTATTGCTTTCCATAAGGTTTTCGCTTTTCTACAACCGGAAGTGAATCAAAGAAGGTTAAACTTGACGACATCTTGAATAGAGGCTTAAATATTTCAAGGAAACACGAAAACATCACGAAAAACTTGCATATAGTGCCACAAGACATCTAATTTAGGCTATAAATGCTTCAATCTCACTAGTTGCAGACCCTTTCAAAATTTTGACGCGGGTCCTACTTACCCTAACGAAATTCGGGGTATGCTTCAGCCTCCGCCCCGGAGTTGCTATGTTCGCGTTAGAGTTATTCTGGGTGAGTTGGCCAACTGATCGCAATCAACGATTAGTCAGAACCTCCTTGCCGACTTTATAGTATCCTGAGAGTAGGACAAGAGTTGACAGAATAAGTACCAGGCGCTTGTAGCTGTCTGATTCGGGGACCGGAATGTAGACCGAATAGCGGACATAGGGAAGCTGGTGGACTATGCTCCCCGAGTCCTAGGCGTTCCTTAATCCAGAGCCGCCCTCGGCTCTAAATTTTGTTAGGGAAGAAGTAGGTGCTGCCTAGGACACGGGGGGAGGGGGCACGTAAATCAACCACTCTGTAGCCGCTTCGGCTAATGGTCTTGAGAGCAGATTCTGGGCAGCTTGCAAGCTCGGTATGACTAGGCTCGGCCAACCCCTTCTCCTACTCCGAGGCGGCTGCATAGTCGGAAAGAAAATTCTGACTAGAAAGTGATTTTGGTGGGGTGGCCAAGCAGACCCAGAA